GCGCGGGCAGCCCCCTTTGGTCGCAAAGCTGGTGCTTGCTCCTACCATTCAAGCTTTTGTCGTTCAATTTCCTCACGCGTCTGTCGATGTGTGGGTTGATGACATCTCAGTGGACTTTGTTGGCGATGAACCGGCTGAAGCTGGGAGAGAATTGAGAATCTGGATGGCTATGAGTTTATGAAGCAGATGTGGCCTCCAGCTGTCGGTCGAAAAGACCGGATGTTTGACTTCATCGGTTGCGGCCAAGCGTGTTCATGACCTTATGAAGGATCTTGGCCTGGACTCTGGCAGATGCATTCAACACTCCAACCAGCTTTTGATCGAGTTCACTCGTTTTGTTTCTTACAGTGGGGCTTCTTATGCGCGTCAGAGTTTCCTTTTAGAAGGTCTTCTGGATGATCATGATTCCGGAAGTCTGCGTGCTACTGCTTTGCTTTTAGAAAGATCTGCTCACGAGTCCGTTTTTTTGAGGTAAAGACGAGACGACGGACATTCCTGTTCCACTTCGACACCTTTTTCTTCAGAAGTTTACTACGGCTGAATTAGCTATGACTTTGAGACGGACAGATGCTTTACCAATGAGGTCAGAGTTTGATGTGTTGACTTCCTCTGATTCTCGTATTGCGTCTTTGGTTCCGGGTCTGAAGGAAATCAGACGAAGAACATACCGTAGTACTTTTGGCAAGGCGCATCCAATCTTCAACTCTGAGGATGATGCTGTGTTGATTTTGTGGAAGCCAGGGAAGTATCATCAGGTTTACTTCATGTTTGCGTCACAACTCTCAATTCACCATGAACCGTTCTCTGTCGAACATTGGAGTCTGAACGTTTACAGACGGAAATGACAGGTGTGGTGCTGTGAAACGTGTTATGGCTCCTGATGAACGAACGGTTGGATGAAGATGATGATCAACCTCCAGATGGGCATTATTCCAAGACCTTGGTCGCGAGGCTGAGCGCTTGCCATGTCAGCTTGGCACGGCGGGCGCTGCGCCTTGGCCTAGAGAGCCTGGTTAACTTGTTTGGTGGCCGGCAACATGACTTTGAGACTGCACCTCTCTTTGCGCATGGCCCCTGAAGCTAGTGAAAAGGTGACCTTTGAGACAACCCCCGCCTGGGCCAATGCCGTGGACGTTGATGCGCAGCACATTGTGAACTTTGCGCGAGCTGAGTGGCAAGAACTTCGTCGGTGCCGGACTGGCATTAACAGCAGACCACAGAGCGGTCCGTACCTGGCACTCACGTTCTGAAGGCAGCGCTTAGAGCAGTCGCCCGCCGTGTTGCGTCGCCTCTCATCGGCCTGCAGTGCTTTTATGAGAGCGTTCAACTGGAGAGCCTCCTTGATTGGGTTTCCCTCCTGCCTTCGCGAACTTCATTTATGAATTAAATAACTATACACTGGACAACGACTGCTTCAAGGGGAATTGGCACTTCCACCGGAACAGGCCCAATGAGAAGCAGGGAGCTCTGCAAGGTCTCGTCCGCAAGATGTGTTTTAAGGCTTCAAGACCTCGAAAACGGGCTTCAACCATGCCAAACTCAATATCTTCGCGGCATTCAGCCGGAAGGGCTTGGATAGCCTGAGCGGCCTGCTGCTGCAGAGTCACAAATCGATCTTGTAGTTGACCCGGTGTAGTCCCCTCCTGCGTGGCAGATGTGTATCTCGTCATCCATCAATATATACCCGGTCTTTGCGTGAATGGCTTGAAGTTCAAAATTTGCTGTCATGGCATCCTCCTGGGTCCCGCTGGAAGTAGGCCTGGGGCCACCCAGCCGCTCTGAGCCCAACAAAAGGAGTGCGCAGGGTGAGATGCCTCTAGCACCTTCAGCTGCACTAGGTTCATCAGGAAAACTCTCTTTCCTCTCCAGATCATGTGCCTGAAGAGCAAGTTGCCGCCACCAGCATATTCCATAGCGCTGATGGGAATGGCAGGTTCTGTGACTGTGACACCAACAGTGTGCATGGCCAATCTGTCAACCCCAAGATTGGTTAGGCGCAACCCGGCATTCTGGGTTACCCGGCAACTGGGCATCAGCCTCCTTCTCGCGCCTCTTGAGCATGCTTTCGGCCAAATGGCGCTCCAATTCAGTCTTCTGAGCATCAGTAAACAGGATGCCTGCCCGCTCCATTGCCTTGACGACATGATCATTCGTGTCTTGATCAAACTCCGGTAGCTCAGGGCAAGTTGAACCGTTCATTTCCTCTTTGAGTAGGCTTCGGACTGAGCAGTCAATTGCTGCTGTTGCTCTTTATCTATGGCTTCCTGCACCGAATTTGAGCTCATCCAATATCGACTTGTAAGCTTCTTTGGCCACATCTACAAGTCAATGCCCTCAGCCTGCAATGCCTTTAACTTTTGGACATCCGCAATCATGTTTGCCCAATTCTTCTGAAGTACCTGTTCGACAACAGGCACCTTGGCAGGCTTGCCTCAAGCGCCCAGTCCAGGCCGAGTTTCTTGGCCTCCTCCTGGCTAGCCTTTGAATTTGGCACTGGCACGGTCCTGCCAAACCCAGGAACTCGAACATCCTAAACACACCACATAGGGCCCGGTGCCCTCTTCTATCGGCATGACGAAAGCCATCCCAGGAGGGAGCCATCATAGATCTCCTCAAGGACCAGGGGGAACAGTCCCGATCACGGGCAATGGTGTGGCCACCGCTGAAATAAGAAGCCGAGGACAAAAACGCCCACACACAGGTAGACCAGTGCCCTCCAAGCGCTCAAGGTTCAAGCGGTTTGAGCCAGCTTGAGCCGAGATCTTGAGCTAAAATGGCTTGAGCAACTTTCTCTCTTTCTCTTTTCTTTCTTTCTTTTTCTTTCTTTATTTTTCTGTCTTTCTTTTTCCCCAATAGCCATGCTATGGGGTCTTGCAAAACTATTAGGCGGACGGGCGCCGTCGGGTCACCGTCAGAGCTGGTGGGCGGATGGTGTCCCGGTCATGTTTTGATGGCGTCCGGGTCATGTGATGCTGGTGTCCCGGTGTCCCGATCATGTTTTGATTGTGACCCAATCATGTTGTGATGGTGTCCCGGTCCTGTTTTGATGGTGTCCCGTTCATGTTTTGATGGTGTCCCGGTCATGTTGTGATGGTGTCCCGGTCATGTTTTGAAGGTGTCCCGGTCATGTTGTGATGGTGTCCCGGTCATGTTGCGATGATGTCGCGGGCATGTTTTGATGGTGTCCCGGTCGTGTTGCGACGGTGTCCCGGTCATGTTTTGATGGTGTCCCGATCATGTGATGGTGGCGCGGTCATGTAGTGATGGTGTCCCGATCATGTTTTGATTGTGTCCCAGTCATGTTGTGATGGTGTCCCGGTCGTGTTTTGATGGTGTCCCGGTCATGTTTTGATGGTGTCCCGGTCATGTTGTGATGGTGTCCCGGTCATGTTTTGATGATGTCCCGGTCATGTTGCGATGGTATCCCGGTCATGTTTTGATGGTGTCCCGGTCGTGTTGTGACGGTGTCCCGGTCATGTTTTGATGGTGTCCCGATCATGTGATGGTGGCGCGGTCATGTTGTGATGGTGTCCCGATCATGTTTTGATTGTGTCCCAGTCATGTTGTGATGGTGTCCCGGTCCTGTTTTGATGGTGTCCCGGTCATGTTTTGATGGTGTCCCGGTCATGTTGTGATGGTGTCCCGGTCATATTTTGATGGTGTCCCGGTCGTGTTGTGACGGTGTCCCGGTCATGTTGTGATGGTGTCCCGGTCCTGTTGTGATGGTGTCCTGGTCATGTTTTGGCGGTGTGCCGGTTATGTTTTGATGGTGTCCGGGTCATGTGACGGTGTCCCGGTCATGTTGTGATGGTGTCCTGGTCATCTTGTGATGGTTTTCCCGTCATGTCATGTTGGTGTCCCGGTCACCTTGTGATGGTGTCCCGGTCATGTTGCGATTGTGTCCCAGTCATGTTGTGACGGTGTCCCAGTCATGTTGTGATGGTGTCTCCTCATGTTGTGACGGTGTCCCGGTCATGTTTTGATGGTGTCCCGGTCATGTTGTGATGGTGTCCTGGTCATGTTTTGGCGGTGTGCCGGTTATGTTTTGATGGTGTCCGGGTCATGTGACGGTGTCCCGGTCATTTTGTGATAGTGTCCCGGTCATGTTGTGATGGTGTCCCCGTCATGTCATGCTGGTGTCCCGGTCACCTTGTGATGGTGTCCCGGTTATGTTGTGATGGTGTCCCAATCATGTTGTGACGGTGTCTCCTTCATGTTTTGATGGTGCCCTGGTCATTTTGTGATGGTGTCCCGGTTATGTGATGATGGTGTCCAAGGAAGAGATGGTCGATGTGTTGAAAACAGCAGCTGTTTCCAGATTTTTCTTTTTGTCCCGGTTTGTATCTTGCTATTGGGGTCTCCAGCTGGGCTAATTCTTTCTTTTTTTTTCTTTCTTTCCTTTTCTTCTTTCTTTCTTTATTTATTTCTTTCTTTCTCTCTTTCTGTCTCTCTCTCTCTCTCTCCCCCCTCCTCTTCATTTTGATTTGCTCTTGTCTCGCAGTCTTTGGCCCAGGAATGCAGCTTTGCTAATTGTGCTCGCAACTTCTCCAAGTGTGTGCTCGGTTGCCGAGCCACAAGGAGCGGGAGGCTGAGGCACCAAACAAAAGTCGCACACCAAAGTGCTCGACGCTTTCTTGCCACAGCCGCTGCGAATCGATGAACTTTGCACACTGAAGCAGGGTGCACACGCATACACTGCCTGCACCACCCTTTGAACACATGCCGGGAAGTAGGTCAAAGCCGCCGCTTGTAGTTTCTAGAATCTTGAGACTGCACTCCCCAACAAATCAGCATTGGCAAGTACTGGCCATTGAGTTAATGCACAAAGGAAAACAATCATAAATTGGCAGTGGCTTTGAAGCGGAAAATAGGAATGCACCTGCAACATTGTGCAATCCCCAAAATCAATGAATTCGATTGCGAAACCTCCCCTAGCCAATTCATAGCTTGCGCGCGGTCTATACAGCAGGAGTCTGGAGAACCAGCGACATCTTGCACCATTAAGGTTGCATTGCCTCTGCCATGCCCAACCCTCCAAGTACAGAACCCAAAGCAGCGACGCCTCTGAGAAGCATCTTTCTCGCTTCAGCATCAGCATCTTCGGCATCTTCAGCTCCGGAGGCTCCGGATTCGGCTTTTCGGAGTTGCAATGCCATCAGGGCGGGGGCTACATAGACCAAGAAAGAAGCGCCAAGTGCTCCACCAATGGCGGAGGACTTGTCCAAGCCGAAGTTGGGCATGCAGGCCAAAGCAACTGCTGCTGCAATCGATGCCACAACGGTCACTGAATTTTGCTCCACAACTTCTGGAACCTTAAACAGTTCCACTACAGTTTTGCGAAAGCACCGTTCGAGCAGGGGAAATTCAAAAAGAACACACAGCCCAAGACCAATCTTCGCTACCCAAGTGAGAGGATCCGCGGAAGAGTAACTTGTGAGAATGGACGGGCCACCGGAAATGCCAAAGGTCTCCACTCCTGCGATGGTGATGGTGCTAAATACCAGACCTGATAACAAGAAGGCAGCCAAAGTGACGATGGTGAACTCAGGCAGCCGAGAGGAAGTTCCACTTGCATTAATGCGTGGCTCAAGCTCATTGAAAATGGCAGGTGCGTTGAAATGAGCAGTGAAGGCGTTCGAGAGAACAGCCGCGAAGATAATCAGCTGTTGAAAGAAAACACCTTGAAGGCTGTCACCTGTTCCATGAATGGCAACTTGTGAAAGGCCATCTACAGCTGCTCTAGCATCGCTGTAGAAAGCGCCGCCTGGAGCATATGAGCCGTCCAAATAGCGGATTGTCATCACAAAGGCCAGAATACAAACACCTGCAAGTCCCAAGACGGAGGCAAACGCCAAGGGTGACAGGGATGGCAACATGCACAATGGAAAAAGAACAAAAGTGGAAATTCCACTGATGAGAATCTCTTTGGCGACAAAGGCTTGAGAGAGAAAGGAGGCGAGCTCTGACGTGGTGTCTCCAAGAACAGAGATGCATGCCACCATGCCAGTAAAGCTGCATACCAGCGAGGCAGCACTTGGCAGCCATTCAAGCCGATCCCCCAAGGTCTTGTTCCAAGCTTCCTGATAAGTGCGGGCCCCTGTCCGCTCACATACTTCCCCGATAAGGTAGAAACCACCAGCATTCAGGCCACCAAAGACGGCATAAAGCAAAAGAAGGAACGCAATGCTGGACACATGATCGTAACCTCCTTGCTCTGCTGCATCAAACACTTTTGCGGCTCCACATGGAAGCGATAGCACCCCAGCCCCAACAATACTCTTTGCAAGATTGGCAGTGCTTGCAATTGTTGATCCTTCCGGAGCATGAAAGTTTATGGTTGCAGGACCGGCCCGTGGAGGGAGAACAAACACGTCTCCGGCAGCATTCTTGGCTTGACGGGCCAGCTGCATGCCCCCATACAAAAGCGAGGCAGCAATGACATTGCATAGTAGTTTGCTTCTTGCACCCCTAGCAATTCTCGGGCTGCGAACCATTCCTGGAGGTCTGCAAGTGGCAGGAAGCAGGACTCTGTCTGCCGCAGCCTTCGAGCTATGGGCAGTTACAGTAAACATGGTTGAGCCAAAGCGGGACGGAAAAAGCTGCACCCTGGGCGTGCAAAGCATATGAATGCAAGCAGTGGTCTGATGCTCGAAAACCTAGTTCAACAGCTTCAAAAATAATCTTTTGCCATGCTCAGCTTCACTCAAAGGACCTATGACGAGTGCCGGTGTACAAAGAGCGGAGCTTTGCACACGCTTCTCTGTCACTGAGGTCGAACCATGCTGCCATGACAACGTTTGAATCATGTGAACTTTCGATTCGATATCAATCTATTTCTGACATCGGAAGAATCTCAGTCTTTGCCAGGCTGCTCATCGAATTCCGCAGCACTTGTGCCAATGCACCTGAACGCCAACCCTGTGAAGGCGGGATGACAAAAAATTTGCTGGACACCGACCTACTATCAATTTTCAGCTATCCTTCACCATGGCTCCGCTACAGTAAATGCATCTCCCTCTCAAGAAAGTTCTTGGTTCTATTATGTTTTATCTTAATTTTAGCCAACTTCCAACCCGGGTGGATTGCGCATGGCACCGCATGCTTAGTAACAGCGTGTAACAACTGCAAACAAAACTCACCGGGAGGCTTTCCACCGGAAACCATTGCTAGGTAGCAAGGAAGCCGACTTCAGCGGATTCATTGGCGGAGGTGGTGCCACAAGTTTCTTGTAACCTCACAGACAGGGCAGGAATGTGTGAATGGGTTCCTTCTTCACTGCACTCGGATTCTCTTCTGCGGTATGGCCTATGGCCTAAACCAGCTTTGGCACTATCACCACGACAATGCGAGTCCAGCTTGAACTGCGGGGAGCCAAGTGTGTACCCGAGTCTTGGTCTCAGCTACTTGCTCCGCCTATCTCTAATCTCTGATATGCTGTTCTGATTCCACTCTATCGTTTTCATGGGGCCAAGCCCGACTCGAAGCCAGCACCTGTAAAACCTGTCGCTGCTAGTATGCGCATTTGACTATTCTACACACCTCCTTTCATATCCATTGCCACAGTGACAATCTGCAAAAGGCTGAACTTGCTACGTCAAATTGCAGTTTAGTTCACGGCACGGTTAAAAGAAAGGATGTCTGTGTTGGCTGCAACTGAAGGACAGTAGTGCTGCAGGGTATGGTGTCAAGTGGTCCAGGTAATATTTGTTTTTGTGGTTGACACCCTTGTAATTGCAGCTTCAACATAGCCCAAGCTTCTTTTTACCTCCATCGGGTCCAGTTCAAACTTAATTTTCAAGTCAGTGGCTCAAAGTCTGGCCCGCTCAGCAAGTTGAATTTGAATTCCGTTTGTAGGAGGGCAGACTATGACAAACCGTGCCCATGGTGGTTCTATATGTAACCGTTCCACTCATGTCCGGGATAATGTGAACAAAGATCAAGTAAATCGCAGTCTGTGTGTTATCATCGCACATCTTGGCTCCGTGGTGGGTGAGATAAACATGTGATACCTTGAGGCAAATGCACTGCATCGTGCATTTTTTGGAATTTTTTGGGACGTGCTACCTAGTCAAGTTGCTTGTTGATGATGGCGGAAGACTCTTTCCCACTCCAATGTGCAACATTGCGCTACTGCATAAAAGCGGGCGCAAATGGTTGTTTGATGTTGTTTGTGGACTTTTTCTTCGAAACTCTAGCCTGCACGAGGGGCTCTTTTGATGTTATCGCCTGTTTCCTAGCCAGTGTGGTCACTCGTGGGTTGTGGTCCCGTTTGGATTAGCGGCGTCTCTGGCCATTTCGCTGCCATTTGCGGGGCGTTCATGCCTCTTGAAATCTTCGATGTGCATGTCGACTGCGCAGGCTCATCGGACTTGGTGGTCACGCTTTGTGGCAAGCGCTGCACTTTGGACTTGGTGATGGTTTCTTCTATTTCGCGTGCTCTAACTACGTGGCAGTTGGAGAAGTATCGCACTTTGTTGCCAGACGCATGGCACAGCTGCGCGATGTGAATCTTGATGTGCAGATTTCGTGGCAGGCACGGAACGGCCCTTTTGTAAACCATGACGTGCAGATTTTGTGGTGGGCACTGTGAGTTGTTGCCTTGCGGCAAGCGCAGCACTTTGCGAACCTCCAACTGCAGATTTTGTGGCAGCTGCAGCGCTTGGAAAAATTTGAGCAACTGAATTTGTCATGTGGCAGGCGCAGTGAACCTCGAAATGCAAATACATGCACATGTGTCTGCTTTCATATGGGCGCTCTCACTTCTGTGCTCTCGCGTGATGTGTGTGTGTGCCACCTCCTGTATCCAAGGAGAATGACAACATTGCACAGTAATATCGCTAGGAATTTCCTTCTTAGTTCACCTCATCTTGTACAGGTCCGCATGGGGGCAGGGAGGGCGCGCAAGGCTCTGCCCAACGAAACTCTTTGCACTAGTCCTAGGAAGCGGGAACTGATCACTCCTGTGTAGTTGCACAAGTTTTTAATTCCCCACATCTCTGTGTGGGGTTCTAGTTTTGTTGGCTGCCATCCCGCCCGCATCCGTCCTTCCTTCCCTCCGTCCTCCTCGCCCCCTCCTCCACCACTCACTCACTCGCTCCCTCACTCACTCACTCACTCAGTCACTCAATGCACACTCACACTCCCAGCAGTCTCCAGAGACTCAGTCACTCACTC